CCAGACTTCGTCTCACCTATTTTGGTCATGTTGTAAGAAGGGACCATTCCCTGGAGAAGGATGTCATGCTTGGTAGGGTGGAGGGTCGATGAAAGAGGGGAAGGCTTTCAGCAAGATGGATTGACATGGTGGCTGCGATAATGGGTTCAAGTATAGCAGGGATCATGGAGCTGGCGCAGGATCAGGCAGTATTTCGTTCTGCTGTGCATGGGGTTGCTATGAGTCGGAAATGACTCAACGGCACCTAACAACAACAATTATATGATAATATAATTCACATTATTGTAGCACTTTCCCATATAGTAATGAAAATAGCCCTCTTGCAAATGTGTCACCAAATAATTAACCAGTTTGCTAGACCACAAACTAAATCATCAAGTTGAAGGGATTTCCCAATACCACCCCACAACAACCATCACCTCAGATAGATCACATGGCCTTGAGTTCTCCTAGGGTAAGGACAGAGATAATAACAATCAGTAAACAGTCTTCAAAACTAAGAAGCCATTCATTATTTAATTTTAAAATCAAAACCACTTTACTGAGATGCCTCTTCTTCCTTAGATCTGAAATAGTCTTGATTTCTAATAGTTTTTTAAAGTAGAAGAGCGTCAACAGGGAACATTCTCCATATGTCACAGGAAATAGAGCTGAGAGTCTGTAGTCAAAATAGAGTATTTTTAGCATTTTCAAGTCTGCCTCCATTTTTGACTCATTTTTGCTATGCCTTCTTAGACAATTAAATATTAATTTTGTCTTCTGTCTACTGTGTTTTAGTGCCTGCCCAAGTGACTGGCTTGCATGTGGCCAACCAAGGGACAACCAGCAATCTGTTTACTAATTGGACCCGGGCTCTGGGAGACATAGAGTTCTACCAAGTGTTACTGATCCATGAGAACGTGGTCATCAAAAATGAAAGTGTCTCCAGTGACACCAGCAGATATAGCTTCCACTCCCTCAAATCAGGCAGCCTCTACTCCGTGGTGGTAACCACAGTAAGCGGAGGGATCTCTTCCCGGCAGGTTGTGGCCGAGGGGAGGACAGGTAAGAAGTAGAGATGTGTATGTCTGTAACTTACAGAGAACTGAGCACATGCACCACAAAACAGTATGTTCTAGAATTTTTAAAACATTTTCAAAAACAGACTTTCTCTGACCTTCTTAAGAGCCAAGTCAGTACGATTTAGAAGGAACATATAGCTCTCTCAGTAATGACAAACCAAACCCATTGCCATCACGTCAGATCTGACTCATGTTGACACCATGTGTTACAGTGTACAACTGTCCCATAGGGTTTTCTTGGCTGTAATCTTTACGGATGTAGATCACCAGGCCTTTTTTTCTGCTGTGCATCTGGGTGGGTTCAAGCTGGCTACTTTTGGTTGGCAGATGAACGTAAGCGCCTGGCACCACCCAGGGACCTTTTCCCAGGAACGATTGATGGGGAAAATACATTCTGAATTTTCTACATTGTCTAATAATAGTGTCAGAATGCTTAGAAAAAAAAACCTTTATAATGACATAGTCATTTGATGTCCAAGTCTATCCCCTTGTTCAGATGATTCCTGTGAAATGTTTGTGTCCTGGTCAAGGTAAACAAGCAAAGAAATGAAAAACTCTCAAGGGAAATATCTTTCACTTACTTTCATATTGTTAGTTTCAAGACATAGAAAGGAAATTAGCTTTTATGATGAAGAGTTGAGTTAATAAAATTCCCAAATCACATATATTTTTAGAAGTGACATTAAGCAAATGCTTAGTCTGCATGCCACCTAAACAATGTTCCTTACCTTAAATAACTCACAGTAAAATAGGCCAGAAGACCAACTAAACAATTGTCATTATGGTCATATGGTCACACAGAGGAGGAGCTTTAAAGGAGGAAATAAACTTTTCTACATAACACTGAGAAACAATCAGCATAAACATAAACAAACTAGAAATTGATAGTGTAGGTTTTCTTTAATGCATTTTATTGAAATATAATTTATGTGCAGTAAAATACACAAAACTAAAGTGACACGGGTCAGTGCATTTTTTTTTTTTTTTTTTTTTGCCATGTTCCCTCCCCTCCCTTCCCACCCCTGGCAACCAACAAAGAAAGTTTTCCTCCATACATAAACCTTTCCTTGACCCTCCACAACAATGAACTAATACTATATTTGTCCTTCTGTGATTGACTTATTTCACTCAGCATAGTGTCCTCCAAGTTCATTCATATTATGTGGTGTTTTGCAGATTGTACATTATTCTTTAGTACTGCATTAACACTCCATTATGTGTGGTGCCATACTTTGGTCATCCACTCTTCCACTATAAATCTTAGAGATAAATCCATTACCAGATAATGTAATTATCAGCAAATATGAATTTGTTGCTGTCATTTTTGTTATGTGCTTTTTTGTGGTATTGATTTCTTTGTTCCATATAATTTTCTATGCTGAGCTCATTTTGTTTATGAATCATGTTATCATTTCCTTCATTGCTATTGCTTTAGTATTTGCTGAATATTTATGCTGGTCCTCTTTTTTGATGTGAAGGTTTATCATTTTCATTTGAGGTTACCCTGTGATTTATAGTTTTCTTCCCAAGTTTAGAACAGTCCATTCTATCTCGTAGTTGTCTTGACTTCCCTACAATCTAGAAGTTCTGTAATGACACAGTTTTTTCCCTCTTTTTGGTTTGTAGTTGTCCTGATTTGTCAGTTGGTGTCTCTGGTTCCCTGTTTACAATCTTGTAGGCTTATTTACTTTGGATACTTCCATAGCTGGGTTGGTTTCTGGGTTATATCATCATGTGTGTTAATGGTCAGTTGTTGTTGGCTGTTGTTGCTTCTCTATCCAAAGGGCACCCATTAGCATCTCTTGTAAGGTTGATCTGGTTTTAACAAATTACCATAATTTCTGCTTCTCGGGAAATGTCCTAATGTCACCATCATATTTGAGGGACAATTTTGCTAGGTACATAATTCTTGGTTGGAAATTTTTCTCCTTCAGTGTTTTATATATACCATCCCATTGTCTTCTCACCTGCAAGGTTTCTGTCAAGAAATCTGAGCTTAGTCTTATTGGATGCCCCATGTAGGGAACTTTTTGTTTTTCCCGTGCTACTATCATGATTCTTTCTTTGTCTTTGGTTTTGGTGAGTTTGATGATGATATGTCTGGGTGATTTTCTTTTGGGGCTATCCTGTTTGGGGTTTCTTGGACTTCCTGAATGGATATATTCTCATCTTTCATCATACCAGGAAAATTCTCTTCTAACAAGTCTTTGAAAGTTTTCTCCGTGGTTTTATTTGTGTCTTCCTGTTCTGGAATTCCAATTACATGTAGGTTATTTCTTTTGATGGTATCCCACATGAACCTTAGGCTTTCTTCATTTTGTTTTGCTCTTCTTTCTGATTTATCCCTTTCCAAAGAAATGTTCAGGTATTTGCCTTCAATCTCCCTAATTCTGTCTTCCACTGATTCAATTCTCCTCCTTTGCCCATTCAATGTCTTATCTATTTCTGAAAATTTAGTGTTAATCTTCTTGATTTCTGTGTGTAGATTTTGTATCATTTCTAATTTTTCATTTATTTTGTCCTTTTGTTCTTGTATTGTCTTTTGAAATTGTTCTGGGGTTTTCTCTGTGTTTTCATTGATCTGTCTCTCAATTCGTTGAAGATACCTAAATATAATTCTTTTGAATTCTTTATCAGGGAGTTCCAGTTATGCATCTTCCTCAGTGATGTGTTTTGGGCCTATATCCTGGTCCCTTGTTTCTCCTGCTTTATCTTGCTTCTTTGTGTGGACTGTGATACTCTGTTGTCTCCGAGGCACTGTGATGTTTTTGTGTTTATATTTAATTGGTGACTGTATGTTGGAGTGACTTGCCCACGATTTTTGTTTTCTTTATTTTGTTTTTATGTTATCTATGCAAGCAGAGTACTGTGCTGTGCTCCTCTATTTGCTAGTAGGAAGCACTTATATGCTCACCACCTGTCTCCTTTCCTGTTGTCAGCCTCTCGTATGTCCCTGCTGCCATTGGCAAACAGCCTATTCTTTGGTCCCTGGAATATGAATGAGGATGCACTTTAAAATCCAAAATGGTTACCACTTGTAAAGATTCAAAATGGCTGTGCCCTTGGTCACTTTAAATATCCAAAATGACTGCCGGTGTAAACAATCAAAATGGCTGCACTCTCTGGACAGTGGAAAGTCAACAACTCAGTTGTCTCCCACCTTGCTGTTTCCCTTCCTAGTCATAGGCTACCAGTGCAGCCATCTCTGCAGCCCTTGGTGACCAGGGCTGATCTTTTTTAGGTTAATTTTCAGGTCCCAACACCATTGAAACTATTCAGAGCTGACAGTCTCCAGCTCCCACCATCCCTGTAATCACTGTTTTTGTTCAGATTTTTCCACTAGTTGGTGTCTAATCCACTTCTGTATAGTTCCTTTCAAAGTTCAGGTCTTCAGGATTATCTTCTCTATCTCCGTCAATTTGTTTTTCTTTTCTTTGTTGAAGAGGGTCTGTGTCACTTGTCTGCCTATTCCTCCATCTTACCAGAAGTCAATGTTGTAGTTTCTTGAAAAAATAAATAAAACAGCCCATGGAAGCTTTGATAAGTACTACTGAACTCAGAAGTTTCTCCTGCTTTATTTTATACAATTCTGATAAATTGGACTTTAGGCTCCTCTTTCTGTATCTGTAATGCTCAGATTTTGCATATCAGTTGTAGGCATCATCAATATATCCCTTTCTTATAGTCATGAATCTCACCTACTTAATGAACCCACCACAAGTCACTGCCATTGAGCCAATTTCAACTCATAGTGACCCCATTGGATTTTGAAGGCTATAAATCTTTACTAAAGTATATTGCCTCAACCTCCTCCCACACAGTGGCTGGCAGGTTTGAACTGCTGACCTTCTGATTAGTAGCTAAATGCCTTACCCACTGTACCACCAGAGCACACTCTTAATGAAACCAAGGAACATTAATCTCATTGAATCTCCCTGAAGAGCAACTAAGGTCATTGAAAAGATGTTTTATACTCTCAGTAGAAATTCATTGATGTAAGCCCATTTCCTCTTTTATGTGCTTCTTTTGTATGGCAGCTGACACTGTCACCTGTGTCTTCCTTCTTGATACCATTTATTTCCCTCTTTAATGGCTCTTGGCAGCACCCATTGATACAGCATAGTTGAAAGGTGCAGAGTATAAAGCTTAGCTTGGGAATCTGAACACCTAGATTCTGATCCTAGCTCTGCAATTAATTCATTTCTCTAAGCTTATGTTTTCTAATCAAGACACAGTAATCATCCTTCCCCACCCTATCCTGGATGTCAGAGTAGGGAAGGAGGAATAGCAAAAAGAAAGTTGAGGAGAGGAGTTGAGAAGGACCATGCACACATTGTCTAGATGTTATAGTTGTATTAGGTTGACTTACTATTTCCTGCTTACCCAATTGTACAATGAGGGTGTTCCTGGTTAGACACTATATTGGTTAGCTTTTCTCCAAGCAGCAATTCATGAATATAGCCACCCAGCATCTGTGGCTCTTACTTCCTCTAGGTCCCGAGAGCTCTTTCCATTCTTCCAGAAAATGGAGAGGGAGAAAAGATTACCAGACCTGCCACTAGACATATCACTTCCACCCACATTCCATGGACCAAAACTTAGTCACAAGGCTATCCATAAGTGCAAGGGAAGTTAAGAAATGTAGTCTCATTCACCTAGTGCTGCTATAACACAAATACCACAAGTGGGTGGCTTTAAAATACAGAAATTTATTCCCTCACAGCTCTGGAGGCTAAAAGTCAAATCAGGCTATCAGTTGTTTCAATTCCTTCTGCAGACCTCTCTCCTAGTTCTGTTGTTTACTGGTGATCCTTGGTGCTCCTTTACTATAGACAATCCTCACATGTTGTCTGTCTTCCTTTGTGTGTGTGTGTGTGTGTGTGTGTGTGTTTATGTATATCCTTGTTTTTATAACTCTGAAGTGATTAGGTTTAGTGGCATGACCTAAACTGATTGATTGATTACGTTACATTATGGAAGGTATTAGCTATGTGGTCATTACATTATATTATAGAAGGTAATCTGTTCTAGGAGCTCTGGTAGCATAGTGCCTAAAGCACTTGACTGCTAACCAGAAGGCTGGTGGTTCAAACCCACGAGAGACTCCTCAGAAGGAAGGTTGGGAAATCTACTTCCGTAGTGATACCACCTCGGAAACCCAAGGAGGGGTCGCTATGAGTCAGGTCCGACTCTATGGCACATAACAACAACAACAATCTGTTCTACCCAAGGCCAACTGATTTAATCACATGTAACTACTCCATGACAGTAACTACGCTAGTGTTTGGTGAAACTACTGGGAACCATAGCCTAGCCAAGCTGACACATAAAATTAGCCATGATAGTAGTCTACGTGTCCAAGGGGGGAAAATGATTTGGCAAACAACTAATCTAACTCACCTGCACAGGTTAAATCCCAGTTTGAAAAACCACAAAGTTGTCCAACTTGTGATAATCTCTGATATCACTTGAAGTAAGTGGACAATAAGCTAGGTAGGACTTGTAATTTTTTTATATGCCTCTATTGAAATTATAACAGAAGTAGCTGTATTTGACTTGCATTATATAATAGAAGCATACAAAAAGAGATGAGAAATTTCTTTCAAAAATGATCATAAAATTCATGGGAGAGAGTAAAATATGAATAAATATAAGCATGTATTATTTTATTCAAACACATTAGAAGTGCAGACATTATCATGAGAAAGAAGAAAAATTAGTTACTACTATAAAAACAAGGAGCCCTGGTGGCACAGTGGTTAAAGTGCTTAGCTGCTAACCAAAAGGTCTCCATGGGGAAATGGTGGGGTAGTCTCCTCCTGTAAAGATTTATAGCCTTGGAAACCCTATGAGGCAGTTATACTCTGAAATGACTCGACAGCAGTAGGTTACTATAAAAGCACAATAACTAAAGATCTTAAAATGTGCCTGTGTTAGTAAATTTTGTACACAGTTGGTTGTGACAGATTCAATGGCTAAGGCTTTGGTAATCATTCCCATCCACTCTAATTGTGAAATATTGATCAATGCTGAAATAATATTGAAAATGTTTCTTTCATTTATATTTCCATAGAGTTGAAACATTTAAATAAATCTTCCCAGCCAAAATAAGATGGCATAGTATGTTAAATCAAAAGCATCAGATATGATTGTTGTTGTTGTTGTTATGTGCCGTTGAGTCAAACCCGACTCATAGCGACCCCTCCTTGGGTTTCCGAGGCAGTATCACTACGGACATAGGATTGCCCAACCTTCCTTCCGAGGAGTGGCTGGTGGGTCAGATATGATTAACAAATCTTAATTCCAATCTGAAAAAAAATTCTTATTCTAAACAAAAAAATCAACAAATTATACATATATGTGTGCATACATATATTTATATACATATATGTATGTATTTGTATGTATGTGTGTGTGTGTGTGTATACACACATACACATATATATGTGTATATATATGTAGTACCTAAGGCATTTTTGCCTAAGGCACTTGACTGCTAACCAGAAGGCTGGCGGTTCAAACCCACTAGCCACTCCTCAGAAGGAAGGTTGGGCATTCCTACTTCCGTAGTGATACTGCCTCGGAAACCCAAGGAGGGGTCGCTATGAGTCGGGGCTGACTCAATGGCAAACAACAACAACAACAACAAGGCATTTGACTGGCTCAATGGCAGTGAGTTTCCCTTATTTGGTTTTTGCTTCCAGGATAGATTTAGGCTTATTTTTTGCCACTAGAGGGCAGGAAACACTTTGCAAAGGAAAACACTACTCCTAGCCACTCCTTGGAAGGAAGATGGGGCAATCTACTTTAGTAGTGATACTGCCTTGGAAACCCAACAAGGGGTCGCTATGAGTCAGGTCCAACTCGACGGCATATAACAACAACAACAGTTATGTTAGTTATTAGATTCCTCAGGGATAAATAACTTCATCACAAGAAGATCAAAATGATTTCTAAATCTAAGATTTTTAGAAAAACTATTGTGTTCTTTGCCTTTTCCCCTCAAATATCTTTGCTTTACTGATGAATTTGATTCATCTGGATTATTATTATGTTGGTTTCTTTTCCTACAGGGAATCTCTTGACACATGGACACATTCACATGAAAACACCCCCGCTTTAAAATACTTTACAAATGGTTGGTTGGTTGGTATGTGCCATGGAGTCAGACCCGACTCATAGAGACCCCTCCTTGGGTTTCCGAGGCAGTATCACTACAGAAGTAGATTGCCCCATCTTCCCTCCAAGGAGTGGCTGGTGGGTTTGAATTGCCAGCCTTCTGGTTAGCAGTCAAGTGCCTTAGGCACTATGCTATCAGAGCTCACACTTTACAAATAGCAACCCCATAAAAATAAAGTAGTGGCATCTCTTTATTTTTGAGACTGCTTAATGCTTGTCCAGAAGGCCTCCTTACATTTTTTATGTGGTTAGCCTTCTGATATAAGAACACCCAGCTTCCAAAAGCTAACTTGAAATCCTAACACTTTCTAGACTTCTTATGTAATCAGATTAGATCACCTATTTTTGCTGACCAAGATAAATGACTCAAACTTTTGATGGTGCTTTTTTTAAAAATGTTTTTTTCTTCCTTTCAAATTATAGTTCCTTCCAGTGTGAGTGGAGTAACGGTGAACAATTCTGGTCGTAATGACTACCTTGGCATTTCCTGGCTGCCAGCACCTGGAGACGTGGATAACTATGTGGTGACACTCTCTCATGACAAGGTGGTTCAGTCCCTTCTTATTGCAAAGTCTGTAAGTGAATGTTCCTTCAGCTCCCTCACTCCAGGCCGCCTCTACAATGTGACCATAACTACCAGGAGTGGCAAATATGAAAATCATTCCTTCAGCCAAGAGCGGACGGGTAAGGAAATGTGGCAGCATAGGACTCCCTAAGAATCCAGCTGTGGCCCAGGGCATCTTAGAGCTGTGGGGAAAAAAAATCCTATAATTATAAGATTAAAAGCAATTGAGATCACAAAATTGTTATGAATCCTGATCCAAGAAACTCCTTATGTGAGCAGATGTTACCTTTACAGTAAGATTAACACAGCTTTCATGGCTAGGATTCACATCATATTCAAACACGTTGTTAGTTGCCATCTGAGGTGGCTGCAACTCATGGAGAGCTTAACATTCTTAACAGTGAAACACTGCCAGATCCTGGGCTGTCCTCTGTTGGTGTGCTTGAGTCCATTTTTGTGACTATTGTGTCAGTTCATCTCATTGAAGAGTTCTCTCATTTTTGCAGACCCTCTGCTTTATCTAACATGATGTCCTTTCTTTTCTAGCCATTGGTCTTTACTGGTGATGGGTCCAAAGTAAGCAAGTCAGAGTATTGCCATCCTTGCATCTAAAGAGAGTTCTGGTTGTATATTTTCTAGAACTGATTTGTTCCTTCTTCTGGCAGTTCATTCAGTATTCTTCACCAATACCAAAATTAGAATGCATCTGTTTTTCTTCTGTCTTCTTATTTTATTGTCCAGATTTCACATGCATATGAAGCAGTTGAAAAGACCATGGCTTGGGTCAGGTGCATGTTAGTCATTGAAGTGACATCTTTGCTTTTTAGAACCTTAAAGAAATCGTTTGCAGTAAAGTGCCCAATGTTGTTTGATTTCTGCTTCCATAGACATTGATAGTTGACCTAAATGGAATTAAATCATTAACAACTTTAATTTTTTTCTCCAGTATTCAAACATGCCCACTGCCATCAAGTTGGTTTTGATTCATAGCTACCCTGTAGGACAGAGTAAAACTGCCCCATAGGATTTCCTAGGCTATAAATCTTTACAGAAGTAGACTGCCTCGTTTTTCTCCCACAGAATGGCTGGTGGGTTCAAACCACTGACCTTTTGGTTAGCAGCTGAATGGTTTAATCACTGCACCACCAGAGCTCCTATATTCAAACGTTGTTGTTGTTGTTATGTGCCGTGGAGTCGCCCCGACTCATAGCAACCCCTCCTTGGGTTTCCGAGGCAGTATCACTACAGAAGTAGGATTGCCCAACCTTTCTTCTGAGGAGTGGCTGGTGGGTTTACACTGCCAGCCTTCTGGTTAGCAGTCAAGTGCCTTAGGCACTATTCAAACATAGCA